CATTCTCACAGGCCATATCTATGTAAATGCTTCTTTGGTTGTTATCAGGAAAAGGTCTTGTTTTGTGGTAATATGATCACCTAAAGTCAATATTTTACTACATTGCAAAGGAAGTTTTTAACTGGAAAGAATAAAGCATTGTTTATTGTACTCTAGCGCTCTTTTATTTATGGCATTGTGGCAGGCAACTCCCCCCTCTCAGGCCACACTATGATCTCAGAGAGGGGTGTCAAACTCTTCAGTGGAGAGGTCTGAATTATGTACTCAGAGCTCAGGTGTCAGTTCAGGGCTTCTCACTTCCCCTGCTTCACACTCTGTTTCCACCACACCGCCAGCCAGGCACAACAGGATCTTTATCGAGTAGCAGCTCTTTTAGAGGGAGAATGTGCCACAGCAGCACACCACAAGCATTTCATCTCCATCCCTTTTTCCCTCGTGGTCCACTCAGCAACAAATGACTTCCTCCCACACTGTGCTGGCTTCTTTCTGCTGCAGGGAAGCAGAAAGCTTGAGCACGCAGCAGAAGGGCAGACTTCCCAGAGACAGCAAGCTTTTATCCCTGGCCATGACCTGGGATGGGGGACTCCTCTGGGAGGTGGAGAGAAGGTCAGCCCAAACTCCCCAAGGGCAGCAATCTGTGGGGATCAGAGGGGAGGGCACTGACTGCAAGAGGGAAGAGTTTAATGGTAAACCAAGATCTTTATCTGCATGCACATGGCCTTCAGCATTGTTGTAAATAATACTCCTAATAAAGAGCCAATTAGACCAACAATCTCATTACTATCCAGCATGCAGCGTGAGAAGGATTAGCCTACGGCATAACTGAGCAAAGGTGCATTTCACAGCTCCACATTTTCTGCTATAAGGTAAGTAGGCATAAGGAGACTTAAATAGACATGTAAGAGATAACAGCATGGAGAGCTGAGAAAAAGGCATGCAACCTTATAAAGAGGTTCCATGGTCTGGCACTGTACATCAACCCCCATTAACAAAACCTGGTCCAACATGCTGCAATCATGCCCTGAGCATGCCCTGAGCGTGGACTCCCTCCTAGATGGCCCTGCTGTAGCCTCCCTATTGCCAGGTTCAGCACTGGATCAGGAGGAACTGCAGCATGGGGACAGCA